ACGCAAGAGTTTATCCTCCCCCCCAGGTTTATTTTCTTCCTGTCTGCAGCAAACCCTCCTGTCATCAGCAGCCCCGTTAGTATTGGTGGAAGTGCCAACCGGGGATGGGCAGGAACTGCCCCTCGCTGCCCGTCCCCGGGGGCTGCTCTCATGCCGGGGGCCGCAGGGCAGCGATGAAGGGGGGAATGTCCCCCCCCCCGGCCATCCCATGTACAATGCAAACTTCACTATTCCACGAGATGTGTTTTCCAAGAGCCACAGGCAGGTTTCCCTCCCCGGGAGCCTGCCAGGGGAGAAGGGTTTCACAAAAAGCCCACCCTGCCCAGCTAGAAGGGGTTTAAACCAGGTCAGGAGCAAAGGCAGCGGGGGCCGGGGAGCGGGCGAAGGGAGGGACACCCACCAGCAGCACTTCTGCTCCCGATTTAGCAGGCAATAAAGCGATAACCTGGTATCACATGAGGATGACGAAGGCCTTTCCAGCCCTGTTAGCTGCCCAGGGAAAGGGCAGATAAAACACCCTAGAGATGAACATACCATGCCCAGCGGGTGCTGGTGTCGTGGGCAGGAGAACACGGGGCCCCAGTGACTGTGGGGCAGGGTGGGCAGTGCCAGGGCATCTCCTGAACCCCCCCAGCCAGGAGCATCCCTGGTGCCTCGTGTGCTGCCGGGAGCACCGAGCTCCAGCAGACGTGGGGATAGTGATGCCATGGTAGGGCTGAGGTCCCCCTGCCCCCCTTCCTCTCTTTTCTCAGTGATTTTCTGTGCCATCCCCCTGCACAGAACCAAAAAGAAATGCCAGGCACCCCAGCAAGAGGTGGCACAGGGGTCCTGTCCCCCTGAGACATCACTGGTTTGTTGCCCGGGGCTCGTTGTTCCCTGGCTCTGGGTCCAGGTGGTTCCCCCTTTTCTTTTCTTCTGGCTTTTATTTTTGATTTTTAATCTCCAGCAGCCTGTGTGGGAAATGGGAGACAGAGACGGATGAGGAGGAAAGGCTATTGTTAGGGCTCTGGGCTGTGCGTCCCAGAGCGGCTCCCTCGGTGCCAGCGGGTTTCTGGGGGGGTCTCTACAGGGGGGAAGGTGGTCTCTGCAGGGGGAGATGGTCCCTGCAGAGGGGAGATGGTCTCAGCAGAGGGAGATGGTCCCTGCAGAGGGGAGATGGTCCCTGAAGAGGCTGGGAAGGCTGTCACTGCCAGCCCAGAGGAGCAGTGTGTTCTCCGTGAGCTGGAGCTCTGCAGGGCTCTGTCACGGCAGCGAGAGCTGAGCATCCCCATCCTTGGTCCAGGATGGGGACTGGCCACCTCGCTCTGCCCACCTCTGTGGCAGCATTTTGGGGTCTCCTGGGCACCCCAAGTGCCGTGTGGGAGCCACCTCGTTGCCTGCAGGTCTCCCAGCCTGGAGAAGGCATCTCTGCAGGACAGGAAGGATCCAGTCCCCTGAAGGGGCACCTCCAGAAAGGGCATTGTGTGGGATTTTGAACACCCTGGAGGGTTCTTCCCCCCACACGTACTGTTGTAGTCAGTCCTTGTCCACACCCTGACCCGGGGGTCCCCCGGGCACTGAGGGCAGACACCCCACTGAAGCCCCTGCTCCCCCCCAGCCAGGATATGCCCTTAAACCCTGACCTTCCCCCGGCTCCTTGACCCCGTAATGGTCCATTCTCTGGGAGGAGGAGGAGGAAATGGCCGTGGACCTTGTTATTCGGCGGCGGGACGCCTCGCTGGGTTGGGGGTCACTGCTGATGTCATTGGCCACCACCGGATATGTTATTTTCCTGCCCCAGCACCCGGTAATCGATTCAGCAGCTGGCATGGGGCAAGGGCTGCCTGCCTGGCACCGCAGCCTGCTTGGGGGTCTCAGGGGTCCTCGGGGGGCACCGCAGCCTGCCCAGGCTCCCAGGAGGCCTCAGGGGGCACCACAGCCTGCCCAAGGTGCCGGGGGTCCTTGGGGAGCAGACCCCTGGCAGCACCCCTCTCCATCCCCCCGCCTGGCAGGAGAGCCCTGCCCTGGTCACAGAGATGCTGCCCTGGAGAAGGGGCTCGGAGCCCCCCCGGGAACCCCCAGAACCCCAGGGCTGGACCAGGGCTCCGCAGGGATGAGGATCCATCCCCCAGGGATGGGGCAGTGGTCAGGGGGCTGTGGGAGCTGGCTCAGCCCCAGCCACGTGTGGGTCGGGGCAGGCAGGGAAGGAGGGAAGGAGTGAGGTGCTGCCGGCTCAGAATCACAGAATCACAGAATCACAGAATTGTAGTGGTTGGAAGGGACCTCAGAGATCATCGAGTCCAACCACAAAAAAAAAAAAAAAAAAAAAAAAAAAAA